AACATAGTATTTCCCATCCAAGAACATCGCCGTTTGTCTAGGGTTTTTAAAATGTCCTCCACGGCCCTGGCTGGTTTGGCTCAGCAGTTAGAGTGTTGACCTGCAGTCTGGAGAGACCCGGGTTCGGTTCCCGCTAAGGGCATGAACCTCGGTTGCAGTTTGTCCCAGGCCCTGGTTGGGTCGTGTGGGTGGCAACCACTTGATGTGTCCCTTTCACATTGATGTTTCTCTCTCTCTCCCCCTCCCACTCTATCTAACCAAAATATCGAAAAATGTCCTCAGGTGAGTGTGGGAGACATTTTGCATGGCATCAATTTTGTTATAATCTGCTCTGCCATCGCCTGCTCCAAGGCAGGATATCTCTGCATTCTGCATTTCTTTATCTCTGTATTTTGCATTTCTTTAAGTAACCATTTACTCATCAGCCAGTCTTTACTGACCTTTTGTTCCTTTTGTAGTATTTCCTAGAATTGCTTCCGGCAAGCCTGGTGCTTGGCAACAGGTGCTTCTTGCCCTATATATTGTATGAATTACCCCTGAATAAATGAGACTTGATCAGAATCCTGTCTTGTCTCCATTTCTCGTGTCTCTTGTCCCTCCTCATCCTCACTCCCCCTCTAGAGTCCTCGTTGATCGACCTGCGGGCCGGGTCAGGTGAGGATGGATAAATAAATAAATAAATAAATAAATGTCCTCCACGAATATTTTATCTCTTTCTCTATTCTGTGTATCTTGTCGATTTGTTACTGGGTAACTTCAACTTTCTTTTTTCTATTGTAAGTGGAATTTAAAAAATTTATACTTTCCATTTATTGTTGCTGCTATAAAATACTGCTAGTGGCATTTTAAAAAATGTTTTTAATGGTTTTTAGACAGAGAGGAAGGGAGAGAGAGAGATAGAAATATCGATGACAAAGAAACATTGGCTGCCTCCTGCACGCCTCCTACTGGGGATTGAATGGGGACCTCTCAGTCCATGGGACTGAGCTCAATCCACTGAGCCACATGGGCCTGGCTGCTAGTGACTTTTTTATATGGATTTTTATACCCAATAATCTTGCTGAATTTTCATATGGATGTTAACAGTCAAGGATAAATCTGATTCAAGTCATGACTTATTAGTGCTATTACACTCTGAGGTATCTGATTTGCTAATGTTTTATATAGGGTTTCATGTCTATGTTCTTCACTGAGATGGGTCTGTAAGTTTCCTTATTTGTACTGTTACTGTTCAGTTTTGTAGTCAAGACTCACATGCTAGGTGCTATTCACGGACTTCCCAGCAGCCACCATTCATTTACCCCCTTGCTCAGAAGCAGATCCTGCCTCCCTTCAACATCTTCCTCTTTTTATTGGAAGGAAAAATCTTATATCTCCTTGGCTGGCACTAGGTCGTTTGGCCACGCTTTGCCAGCTGCAAAGGTGGCTGGCAAGGTGGGCATCTTGACATTTTCAAGACATGAATTATTTAGGAACGTTTACTTTTCTAAATGATGAAAAACATTTTTTTGTTATCCTTTTTTTTTTTTTTTTGTAATCAGCCAACAGGATATACATGATACTGATTTTCTGATATTTGCTGCGATTGATTTCTGGCTTGGTTTGCAGTCAGGTTTTGTACATTTCATGTGTGTTTGAAAAGCATTAATGTATTAATGTCCACTAGATCAAGCTTGTCATTCTGTTGTTTACACCTCCTCTGTGCTTGGTAAATTGTCTTTCTACTTTATCTGTCAGTCTGTTAAATTGATATTATGTTATAATTTCCCACTACAGCTGTGGCCAGTGTGCTCAGTGGTTAGAGTGTTGGCCCTTGGACCAAAGGGTCTCAGGTTCGATTCCTGGTCAAGGGGACATAACTGGGCTGCAGATCAGGGCACGTGTAGGAGGCAACCAATAGATGATTCTCTCTCGCAGTGATGTTTCTCTCTCTCCTTCCCTTCCTTCCTTCTACTTTTATTAAAAAAAATCAATGGAAAAAATATCCTTGGGTGAGAATTAAAAATAAAAATCTCCCACTATATCTTTAGGCTACTTATGATTTTGTCAGTGTTGCCATATATTTGTTGGTCTAGGTTGAGATTTAGGATTTAACTCCCATAACTTGACTGTGACCACTGATAGATTTAGATTTATCTTGCCATCAAAACTTGTTTTCTAGTTATGCTTTTTGCAGCATTCTATTTATTCTTCCTCTGCCTTCTATTGGACTCACCAAGTTTTCTCTTGGAAGTTTTATATTGTTCAACGGCTCCTTCAGAGGTCACCATTACATTTTGAATATGTACACTTGCCTTTAAAGAATTTATTTATTTTTTAAAAAATATTTTTATTGATTTTTTTAGAGAGAGAAGAAGGGAGAAAGAAATGGAAACATCGATGTGAGAGAGAGAGAAAGGGATCTACTGGCTGCCTCCTGCACACCCCCTTTTGGGGATTGAGCCCACAACCTGACTGGGCATGTGCCCTGACTGGGAATAAACCGGGACCTCTCAGTCCACAGGGTGATGCTCAATCCACGGCTCTAAACCAACTGGGCTTGCTTTAAAGAATTTAAATGAATCAGCATCTCCCTCCTTTTCCTAAACAACTTAGCGACTTACAGTGTTTTTTACCATAATTACTAACTCTCATCTTCTGCTACTACTACCTATTATTTAAACTCCACAAGTATACCCCAATTACTCATTATTAATATTTTTAAAACAATCTATGCTCATTCAGATTTGTCCAGATGTTTATCAACTTCTTGTTTATTATTACTTCTAGATCTTCCCCCCACCCTTCCTTCTTGGGTTCAATTTCCTTTTCCTTCAAGTACATCCTTTCGTAGCTCTTTCAATATTTGTCAAAAATGGTTTTTATGCAAGATTCTCCATCCCACCTGCGCATTTGAATAGGCCAAGGCCACATATCTTGTCCTCTGATGGGCACAACACCTCCTAGATATCAGGCCTGAGCTTAGTTCTGACAGTGTCTGGCTTCCCTAACATCAATCAGCTCATCAGTTTCCCGTTCTGGTTTGAGTTTCCTCTTCATTTCTTGTACCTGAGGATTTCCCTTTCTTTGTTTGGAACTCTACTTTATATTGTTATATTTCATCCTGTGTTTGTCATACGAGGTGGGGGAAGGTCCACATTAATCTTTTCAGTTCCTATTCCTGGAAATCCAGATATTCTATTTATAACAAATTTCCCTCTTACTGATGTTTATTATTCTCCTTTAAAATAAATACCATATATTTTGATAGAGAACACAGACATGACAAAGACAGCTGGACACTTCTTGTTGCATTCCAGGAGAAGTGACCAAGTTCTCTAAAATTTTTCTTGAATCTGGTTAATAGAGAACATTCCCCAGGTAATAACCTTGGAAAATGCAATTGACATGAAATTTTCTGTTGATCTGTACCTGTTTTCTTACATCTCCGTCACTTCTCTTTGCGCTACACAGATGATCCCTGCTCAAAATTTGAATTATATCGTCCACACTAACAAGCCAAAACAGCATTTTTTTTTCTTTATTGATTTTAGAGAAAGAGGAAAGGACTGGGAAAGAGAGAAAGAAACATTGATGAGAGAGAACATCGACTGGCCGCCTCCTGCATGCCCCTCACTGGGGATTTGGCCCACGACCTGGGCATGTGTCCTGACTGGGAATCGAACCTGTGACCTCTTGGTGCGTGGGTTGACGTTCAACCACTGAACAACACCGGCCAGGCCAAAGCAACATATTGAGAAAAGTTGTCTCAGTTAGGAAACCATCCTCAGGTGAGACCTGGAGCTCAGCTACTCCTGCAAATCAACAGGAGTTCAGTTGGAGGCTCAACTGGTTCCACACCCTGGGAATTCACAGCTATAAGTTGATGAACAGGAGAATCTAATTTGCATTTCACCATGACTCAGGAGTTCCTGGTACTGCACCCCTAGGCAGACTGAAACATGCTGGTTTACTCAGCCCAAGGCCTTTACCGTCAGGATATGGGCCTGAGAGATTTCCACACACCTAGAGACAGGACCCAAACTCTCTGTCAGGACAGAACAGTTGACTTCAGCCTGTCAGAGGGTGGAGACCAGGTGAGAATGGAGGAATCCAAATACGGCTGGACTCAGAAACATCTGAGGGTGGTCAAAGCACGGACGATGGTTCCGTGATTAAACCGGGGGACTGCCCATCTATTGTGTCAGAAATGCTTTCTGAATAATCATGTAAGGGCCAATGGGAGAGGCTGTACGTGGGGGAAAAGTATTCATGGAAATGATAGCAAAGACTAGACTGGTCATACGCTGGTTCACTACAGTCGACAGTTACCTTCAGTAAAATATATTCCACGTGGCATGTGACCACAAATTTCTGACCCAGGAGAGAAGTGAAAGGAAGAAAATGGGCTGGAGTGGGGGTGCGGAACGGAGAGAAGATCAAATAAGCACTGATAATCAATCAAGCTATTTGTGGTACGAAATGGCCAGAAATTAAAGACTGCATTTTGCAAAGCAGAAATGGTAGTCCTGATCAGTGCTGCTTTGCCGTCCTCAAATTTCTACCCTTCCAAAGCAAGGGTGACCACCTCCACCTTGGGAAGGATGGGTCCACTTGAGAAATGGAAGCCACCTTAGCATCGCACATCATACTTCGGTCACAGGGGACTGGTTCGTTTTTGTCAATTCCCTCTGCAGACACCTGAGTGGCCACCTGGCAGAAAGTGGAAATCTCACCAAGTCCAGGCCCCAGTGGCACGCTGCCACCTCCAACACCTCTACACCTTGAAGGCAAAGCCACCTTCTCCTAAGCTAACCCCGAATCAAGGGAGAAGACAAAGTCCTTCAATCCTTAACATGTGATTTCATTGTCATCTGTTACTCAAGGGGCGGGAACGTGCCTCTTCATAAAATGCGGTTGAGGACTATTTTGCAGAAAGCAAGGGGTTCTGCTGGGGGGCGGGGGCAGGGGCTCCCGTGTGGCGGGGGGGCGCAGGTGCGACGCCAGCGGCCGCCACTCACCTGTTGAGATACACGCGCTTCTCGGTGAACTGCCCGTTGCCGTGGTGCGGGTCCTCGAAGGGCTCGTTCTGCACGACCTCCACCCCTTCCCCTCGGTCGCTCTGTTCGTGGCTGTGCTTGCTGATCATGTACAGCTGTCCGATTTTGTACTACAAAACACAGAGACAGAGGTCAGCCGGCCGCTTGCCTTCGAGAACACCCCTCCCCCATCAACAGCCCGCACACACCAAACATCAGCACTTTCCGCTCAAAGGAGAGCAGACCCGTGGGCCTGATGTTCCTTTGCTCTGGAGCGAAGAGGACAGCGAGCCCTGAGCTGAATGTACAAACGACATGTTCCTGTGAGCAGTCTACATCACCTTGGCGATCGCCTTGGGGTTGCCAGCCCACCCACCCATGGGTAGCAGCAGGGGGTGGGAGCGGGGAGTCTGCCTTCTCACTCATGCCCTACAGGGATAAGCGGAGCGAAAGTCTGATTTTTCTCAGCAAAACACAGGCCAGGGTGTGCTCTTTCTGCATTGCTGGGCACAAGAGGATTAGATGTCACCTGTCCCTTCCATCACCTCCTGCAAAGTCCAAACTCTCCCGGAGGGCTCTGTCCTCTAGAACGCAGGTGTCAAAGATGGCTGGACACTAGGGTCGCCTGGAAGCTTTTCAAAACTCCAGATGCCCAGGCCCCACCAGAGTGAAACCTGTGTTCTGAGGCTGATCCACAAGGAGGAAAGTCTACATTATCTTTAACTACTTTTTATCCAATTCCATTAATGGCGTGGAGCCTTCCGGCCTGGGGAGTCAGAAGCCGTATGTGCTTACATGAAAGTAATATGGAATAGCCCAGAATATGAGCAGTCTCTGGCCTGTCTTCATTCTCAGGCTGTCCCTTCCGGCCTCTGAAATCCCTGCGGCCGGCAGGCATTCTTCACCCACTGAACTTCCAGGATGGCAGAACTAATTTAATTGAGAAAATAAAAAGAGAGGAAGGAGGGAAGCAAGAGTCAGAAGCAGGACAGTGCCACCCTGCTGTGGTCCTTCTGACAGACTCACACACAGTGATGTCACCATCAAGGCCCCTGGGAAGGGAGGGGGGAAAGGATCCTGTGTCTGCAGCAAGCTAGTGGCAATTCTGGGTTGTTCCCAAAAGAGCCCAGGCCAGCAAGGATGCAGGTCTCTGGTCGACATGCATGAGAGAGAGAAAAAGATTTTAAATTAAGGAGGCTGGTGAAATGTACAAGTCAACAGTGCGATCCGTTCCAAAGCTGCGAGGACACGTCAGAGATCCCGCTTTCTCTCCGAGGCAGGTGCAGGGAGGGGAGTGGGAAGAGAATCTGAAAGGCCCTGGTCTGAGGCCAGCCCGAGGGACCAGGCCCAGTAACCATGACAATGACGGCAGAGGGTGGCTGGGTCTTCTCAAAGCCCAGTGCTTTCTCTCTGTGCCACACCCCTCCCTAGAATGGTCAGCATTTAAAATGCCCTTTATAAAATGTTTTTAAAGGGAATTTATTGGGATGGCATTGGTTAATAAAATTATATAGGTTTCAAGTGTACAATTATGTCATATATCACCTGTATTATTGTATTGTGTGTTCACCACCCCAAGCCAAGGCTCCTTCCATCACCATTTATCCTCCCTTACCCTCTTCTATTAAAATACTTTTAACACGAGTGTATGTGTGCTTGGGAGGAGGGGGAGCTCTGAGGATAAGAGCAGGAAGAAGAGAGAGGAAAATCAAAGGTAAAATCTATTTTTAGCACTGGCTGGCTTGGCTAAGTGGTTAAAGTCTTGGCTGGGAGACTGAAGAGTCACAGGTTCAATTCCTGGTCAAGGGCACATACCTGGGTTGCAGGTTTAAACCCCAGCCCGGTGGGGGTCATGTAGGGGGCAGCCAATCGATGTGTCTCTCTCATATCGATGCTTCTCTCTCTCACTCTCTCCCTCCCCCTTCCACTCTCTCTAAAAATCAATGGAAAAATATCATCAGGTAAGGATTAACAACAACAAAAATCTATTTTTAAAACAGTTTCTGGGATCAGAAACATGACTTGGCTTCCCCTTAATAAGTCCCTACTCTTACTTTAACTCACAAACACTAACATTCTCTCCAGGAGGACAGTAAGAAAAGCTTACAGATCAACAGCCGACCTCAAGCAGAGGGGGACATGAGCCTATAACACAACACTCAGCTGCCCAGGGGCAAAGATTTTGCTGGCAGCTGTTTTGTACTTGGTGTTCAAAAAGTAAGTATTTACCTACAATAAAATATTCAGGTACAAAAGGAAATCAAGGGCTGACACAGTACTGCTTAATGGGTGTTGTAGGTTGAAATGTTTCCCAAAATTCCTATGTTGAAGTCCCAGTAACTCAGAATGTGACCTTATTTGAAGGCAGGGGCTTCACAGAGGCAATCAAGTCAAAATGAGGACTTCAGAGTAGACACTAATTCGATAGTGCTCATGTCCTTATACAGAGAGGGAAATCGAACAGACACACACAGAAAGATGAGGTGAATCAACGCAGAGAGAGGATGGCCATCTGCAAGGCAAGGACCTGGAACAAATCCTCCCTCACAGCCTTCAGAAGGAACCCACCCTGCCTGCTCACACCTTGATCCTGGACTTCCAGCGTCCACCACGGCGACACCATTAGAGTCTGGTTGTCGAAGTCACCAGCGTGTGGCGCTTTGTTCCAGAAACCCTAGGAACTCATCCAGTGGGTGTGGGCCGGGGTTCTTTTTAGGGTCATGAAAGTGTTTTGGATCTGGATAGAGGTGGTGGTTGCACAACACTGTTATAGGCTAGATGCCACTGAATTGACTTTAAAATGAGTAATTTTATGTTATGTGATTTTCACCTCAATTTTATTTTTTCACAGTGTTGACTCCACTTCTGAAGCAGTTTCCCCTAAACCAAAATTCTGTCAAGGACTTCAGTGGTGCGTTTGGCAGAAGGGACATGTCTACCACTGGATGGTCTTCAGGAGCTCCAGCTCACATTTGAACAATATATGGGATCAAGGACAATGACACAGAAAAGCCATTAGCCAGACGTGAGTCAGCCTGACTGTGCTCAGCTCAAGGGCTTCCTGCTCCGGGAGAGGGGAAGGGGCGGAGGCAGCCTGCAGCTGGTCCCCGGTGCTCAGAGGAGGGCCTGGCGGCCTGGCCTCATTGGTCATTCCAGGGGCTCCGGAATGAGCTAGTGCAGGGCAGGCATCGGCCTTAGCTCAGGAAGATAGCATCAGTCTGGGGCAACCCACTGACGCTGGATGCAGATGCAGGTGACATGGCAGGGCGGAGGCACTCAAGCCCAGACGCAGATGCTCAAGGGCTCTGCAGCGTCACTTCTTTCCTTCCCGAGCAAATCAGCCGGCTCGTCCGATGGCCATGGGAGCTGGGCCATCCAGAGGCAAAGGCTTTGCTGCTGTTTAGAAACCACAAATGGACTCACAGACAAATGCATTTCTCAACTAGGGCGAGAGAGCAAGACAGGCAGTCCTTGAACCACCTGCCTCAAAATCACCTGCCACTCCTAAAAATGTGGAATCCTAGGCCATCCTAGTCCTCTTACATTCAGGCTCTGGGGGACAGGGAAGTGAGGAATCTCACTCAGACGCACACGAAATGCTAAGAACCACTGGGTCAGAGAGAGGCGAAGGCATTCATTAGGACTTGCTCAGTACAAAACGGCGCCCAGGCCAAATTGTGCCATCTTTAGGAGGCCCATTTCTTCTTCTTTTTTTTGATACTTACCCAAGGACATTTTTTTTCCACTTTTTGTTCAGTTAGAGTGGGAGGGAGAGAGAGAGAGAAACATCGACGTGAAAGGGACACATCGAGTGGCTGCCACCCACACGACCAACCAGGGCTGGGGATAAACTGCAACCAAGGTACGCGCCCTTAGCGGGAACCGAACCCGGGTCTCTCTGGACCACAGGCTGACGCTCTAACCACTGAGCCAAACCGGCCAGGGCCCATTTCTTCTTTAATGCTCATTCCTTGCAAAGCTCTATCCATAATTTAGTGGAAACAGCACATCACTGATTACCAACTCCAAACAAACTCATACGTCAAATGAACACAGCCAAACCCAAAGACTCAGGACTCCACAAACTTTGAAGCCAGATAATTGATGGTGGTGATGGGGATAATGGTGGTGATGACGATGATGGGAGTGAAATACAGCTTAACTGATTGCCTGTAAATTAGATGCATCATGTTCATTTCTAATACTTGTGACGACTCATGTAGATGAGTATTTACAAATGAGGAAGCTGAGTCTCAGGGGTTAAAGACTCTCTGGATGAAGCTTCTAGGTGGCAGAGCTGGGATTTAACACCACAGGTCTGAACTCTTTCCTCTCCACCCAAATTCAGACCTTATTTCTCTAACAGGTGAACTGCTTCAACAAATCAAAGCCTCACTGTGATTAAGGGGCGGTGGGGGGGTCATTCAGAGCCACTGCTTCTGAACCCTGCTGTTTCTAAAGAGGAATAACAAAAGCCTAATATCATTCGAAAGATCAAAGTTGTTTAAACTGTGCTCATACATGAAATGGTGAGGCAATTATGCTCTAACTTTGTAACATCTATTGTTACAATTCCAGAGGTTGGATAATCATCATTGCAGGCAATCATGGTTAGCCACAGCTCAGCACTGCAGAGCTGGGCCTCTAGGTGAGCCATCTTCGGAATTGCTACCCCAAGTAATTATCTCTGTAGTCAAAAACATCCTGGGGATCAGATCCTTCCCACGTGCACACCGCGCTGCAACATTTGAGAGAAGGTGGAGTTGCATGACATTCCTGGAAAAGCCCAGCGGTTCCATCTGTTTGCACTTTGCAAACTCTATGGCTGAGCACAATCAACCTACTACAGTTCAGCCTCCAACCCTGATTTTAGAAAAGGTGACCCCAAGCCAAAACTCCTGAGTATGGTAGAGAATCATTAACGGAGCACCAATAACACCGTGAACATCATGCTTGCCAGAACTACGGGACCCAAAGTTTTAGGCTCAACAGGACTCCTAAATCTGAGTTTCACTTATCTGCTTCCCACAGCGGCTGAGATCTCTGCAAGCCAGCATCCCATACTGCCCCACCCTAAATAAACAAGGGGCAATCTATCTTCCATCCAACTAACCCCCGTCTCCTCCCTTCC